GTGAGGGTTAAATTCAGTTTCTGAAATAACACCACAGGCCCCTTTGGGAGTTAGTGGCCTCGGTGGCTCCACTGAGCAGGGAGAGGGTGGGAGGCAGGGGCTGTCGGTGGAGAGCCCAGGGTCATAAAGAACTGGGACCTCCCGTCTCGAGCCCAGGGGGCCCCTTCTCTCCCCAAAGGCCTCTGTACACACTGCTCTCTGGCTGTTAGGCCCCGAGAGGGCAGGGACGGGGACCCCATAGTTTCTGGGTGGGACTTGCTCACAGCAGGACCTTAAGTAACGTCTGTTAGATGAGTGATCCAAAGAGGGGGTCGAGGTTTTCCAGAATGCTCCCCAAGACCCACAGACCAGACCCCACGGTGGACTCTACAAAGGCTTAGGGCTTCTGGAACCGAATCCTCAGAACTTCACCTGGTTCTGCAGCCCCGGGGGAAACTGAGGCTCGGAGAAGCCGGGCATCCGATTGGGCGTCGGAGTTCTGCTTCTGTGCCACTCTGGAGCCGCTGTCTGCCCTTCCCCTTTCTCTGCCGCCCGCCTTCCCGTAACTACGCGATCATGAATTCCTGTCCCCGTTTTTGCTATGTATCAAAGCCACGTGGAGCTGTCAATCAGAGCGTCTGTCGGCAGGGGCGTCTGCTTTGCTGGGTCCCTGTCACTCTGGCCCGAAGCGGGCGGCGTGCTGCCAGTCCAGGAGCTCCCTGGGGGTAGGCGGAGGCAGCGTGGTGATAGCTCAGACAACCGCCATTGGGGCTGGCGCTGATGGTGACAGAAACTTAAGGATTTACTTCGTGCCAAGCCCCGGGCTCAGTACCACGTGCCACCCCCGTGAAGGGGGGCTCCCTGACTCTCCCTGTTCTGGGGTGAGGAACCGAGGCTCAGAAAGGGCTCAGTGTTCCTTCCGTCCCAGGGCCCAGAGCCGCAGAGTCCAAAGGCCCTTCCTCTAACCACTGCACCACACTGCCTTCCAGGAAGGAGAGGGGAGGAGCTGTGAGCGGCAAGGATCCTAGCAGGTGAAGAGGAGGGAAGAGGAGTCCAGCAGAGGGAAGCCTGCCTCTGACGCAAGGGGTCATGAGATGAGGCGGCTGGGGACGGGGCTGGGCGAGGCAGGAAACTAGGGCATCTTCCTCGGATTCCACAGCCCGCTCAGCATTACACGCTGCCTACGTCTCCAGCGGGTCTCCGCTTACAAAACCCTGCAGAGTCCCACGCAGGCTGCTGCCAGCCCAGAGGGGCCCCCTGGACGTTCTCTGGGGCCACGCCTTCCCCCCTTGCCTGGAGGTTCCAGAGACGGCCCTGGGGTGAGGGTGGGGGGTGGGGGGTGGGGAGAGGGTGGATCAGAGGCAGCGGGTGCAGCCTGAGCTGCACGGGGAGGGAGGATGGATTGTCCAGGCTCTGCTGACGCGGTGCACCCACGGGCTGGCGCTGTGCCAGGCTCCACACGCGTCACCTCCTCGCAGCTCCAGCCCCAGAAGCGGGCACCACTGTCCCCGCTGCCAGGACAAGGGCGCTCTGTGCAGCCACTGAAAACCTCCCTGTGACCCCACTGCACCTTTCCAGGTCTCAGTTTCCTCTTCTGTAAAATGGGGAGAAGGGCTGGAGTCCACCCTCGAGGTCTGCCCCTGAGGGAACCTGCTTGGCCGTGGGGTGAGGTCAGGGATGGGCGTGCAGAGCCCATGTTCCCTGTCCCCTTCACCGCCCCCCGCCCCCCAACCTCCCTCCTCTGGAAGCATCTGCCCACGAACACGGGATGGATGGACTGGAAGACCCTGGGAGGGAGGCAGTTCTGCCACCTAGGAGGGCTCAGGACCCCTCAGTAGTAAGGTCAATGCCGAATCCCCTTTGGGAATAATCAGAGAGAGCATGCTCCTTACAGGCGGGAAGACTGAGGCTCAGGGAGGGCAGGCACACTAGTAACGCAGGGGTAGAGTTAGGTGACCAGACATCCTGATTTTTAACAATTTGGCCCGCGGCCCACGGTGTTTTAAAAAATTCCCGATCGGGAATTTTTTAAAACGCCGTGGGCCGCGGGCCAAATTGTTAAAAATCAGGACGGTCTCGCCAAAAGCAGGACGTCTGGTCACCTTAGGGCAGAGGCACAAGACGCCCAGGCTCCTGGCCGCCAAGGGAAGGCCGGCTCCCAGCTCCCTCTGCTCTCCCATTTCCCGCACGGGGCTCTGGCGGACGGCTTCCCAGGAGGGCCGGACCCCCCTCCCTGCCCCGGGAGCTGGGGACCAGGGGGAAAGCCGCTCAGCGGATCCCTGGCTGTGGTCCCGAGGCCCTGCTGGGGCCCAGCGGGTGGCAGCCCCTCTCGGGCAGCAGAAGCAGAACGGGCGTTTTGTCCTCCACGAGAGCCTGGCTGCTGGCCGCTCCCCGCGGGCCTCAGCCTCGGCTGGCACAGAGAAGCCTTGTTTCCTTGAATACAAAACCTGCAGCTTTCCATTCAGGCCGGGCCCCCCGGCGGGCAGCACTTCCTTCCCTCGAAGTCCAGCTCCCTGGCCCCTTCCTGCCCCTCCCCCTGCCCAGCGCCCCCAGCAGCAGGCAGCAGCGGTGCCAAGAGGCAGCCTGCAAGGGCCCCACTCCCCCAAGTCCTCCTGAAGTTCTAGTCAAACTAACAGCAGGAACAGCCTCTGCAAAAGCCAGCTGGTTCTGCAAACGCGGACCACTCCCCCAGCCCCGAGGCCCTGCGCTGAGGGCAGCTCAGCTGGGCTCCCCAAACAGCTCATGCTTTTCTTGGGGGGTGGGGGGAAGGGAAGGGATGCTGTGGAACCCCAAGGGAAGGAGGGCTCCGGGGGAAAGGAGGGGGCTGCTGCTGGGTGGGCTCCCGGGCAGAAAATCACCCATGAACACGGAAGGGGTGCTGGAGGAGCGTGTTTTCCCACGTGGGAGCTGACGGCTGTGACGGGGAACACGGAAAAGAAGAACGTGGGTTTTGGAGTCAGAGACCAGCGGGTTCCGATGGTCTGTGCCCAAACCCCCCAATGGGCCATGGGAATGACAGCCTGTGGCTCGGAGAGGCAGTGAGCTCCTGGGTGCCTCAGTGCTGCACTGAGTCACCTCGCCTGCACTCCCCCGGGGGCAGCCCCTACAAGGAAGTTCCCGACAGGCAAGTGACACCCATCCTGGGCTCAAGGAACCGTCTATCTGTTCCTGCCAGAGTTTTGGAAGCTCCTGGAAGTCCTGGAAATCTCCTCGCTTTCCTGACCGGGCCAGCCTGTGGCCGGGAAGAAACTTTAAACTCCCAGCAAGCCAGTCAAAGAGGCAGCTGCCGGGCCTGGGACCGGCGTGCAGAGGCCCAGAGGGGCGTCCAGGACTGCTTTCCCCCAGGGCGGCCCCTAGAAGAGTAGGGGGCACCCAGCCCTCCAGGCCTGGGAACCAGTAACCTCTTCCCCTGTGGTTGGGGCAAATGCAGAAGCAGCAGCTGCAGCAAGGGCGAGAAGTGGGAAGAGCCTCGATCCAGCTCTGAGGTTGCAAAACCCCACCTTGTTGTGCTTCCGGCTGGCCTCGGCTGGACAGCCAGCTGTCTGTGGCAGAGACACAGCCACAGCCCCCAGCCCCCAGCCGGCTTTACCTCCCGCCTGGGGCTGTTTGTCCCTGGTCAGAGGCCTCCTGACTCCTCCACCCAGACCTGCTCTCCACTTCCTCCCAGACCCACTCAGACCAGGACTCCGGGCTGGGCCCCCTCTGGGACAGGAAGTGGGAAGGGTGCCAAAGGAAGGGGGCCCAGAGGGTCGTGTGACTGACCATCTCCATCCCAACGGGGTTGATTCAGGGATGACCAGAGGGGACCTGGCACCCTTTCTCTCCTTCAGCAGAGCGAGTAAGGGTGTTTTGTTGAGGGGGAAGGGCTAAGTCCACCCACCGGGTGCCTGTCCAGCCTGCCAAGCACACAGGTGTGGTCCCATGTGCAGGGAAGGGTAAGGCTGAGAGCAACTGGGAGGTGAGGAAGGTGTGGGCAGCCGGGACCCTGTGCGGGGCAGGAAGGGGACGCACAGTAGCAAGGAGGGCACAGGAGAGGGGGCGCAGAGAGATGGGACTTTCTGACAGGGAGCAGGGGGCAGTGATGGCAAAGCGGCTGGGTGGGGGTTGGGGTGAGGGCAAGAGGAGGGAGGGCCTGTATGTGGGGAGTGAGGGGACTAAGCCCTTGGGAGATATATGTGTGTGTGTGGGGGAAGTTGCACATACCTGCCAAATGGGGAGGGGCAGGGGCTGAGGAGGAGACCACCGGAGGGTCAGGTTCAGGGTCCTGGCTAACAGAGTGGAGGGGGGTAGGGTGGGAGGGGCTGAAGGGTTTTGATCATAGTTTGCTAAATATCTACAGGGGGAGGGGGAGGGGATCTGAGGCAGGCAGAGGGAACGAAGAGACCCCAAGTGAGGAATGAATGTGGCATGGGGTGCAGGGTATGGTTACCTTTGCTGGGGGTGGGGGTGGTGTTGAGGTGGGGGTGGGAATTCCCGTAGCTTGTGGTGGGTGGAAGGGACGCCTAGGGAGTCCTCAGTCTCAGTGTCAGATGGTGGGGGGAATGTCACGAACAGGGCAGGTCCTAGGCAGGAGGCCCGGCGTGTTCAGAGCCATGTAAGCAGGGATAGCAGGGGCTCCCTGGGCTCGTGACGATCTAGAAGGAGCCGCTGGGTCCCCCACTCCTGTGCCTGTGTCTGGTGCACCAGGGGTGGCGTCACCCAGCTGAGGGGTCGGAGCCAGGGCCTGGGGATGCCCAGACCCGTTGGCCCGGTGGGGCGGAGGGTCCCTGCAGCTCGTGTTTATCTGGAAGGGGCCGCTGGGTCCCCATCCTTGGTGTGCGGGGGTTCGGGGAGCTGGGCTGGCAGTGGGGGTCCCCATCCCTGGTGTGCGGGGATTCGGGGAGCCAGGCTGGCAGGAGGGGGTCCCCATCCCTGGTGTGCGGGGATTCGAGGAGCTGGGTGGGCAGCAGGGGTTTCGGGCGGCGCGGGGTCGGGGCTGGGGCCCGCGGCGGCCGATGGTGGGGGCTGGAGGGGGCACTCACTGCTTGAACATCCTCTCCATGTCCTTGATCTGCTTCCTGGAGAACTCCTTGAACTCGGTGTAGGGGTTGAAGACGCGGCGGCTGGGCGACTGGGGCTCGCCGAGGCCCTGGTTGAGGTCGGCGCGCCGCAGCAGCTTGGCGCTCAGCTCGTCGTCCGCGCTGCCCAGCGCCTCGGCCGCCTCGTCCTGCGCCCCGGCCGCCGCCGCCCCGTTCAGGCCGGGCTGCCCGGGGGCCTCGCCGCCAACCTCGCCCTCGTCCTCCATCTGCAGCCGCCGGCTCAGCTTGCTGGCCAGCTCGTCCGTGGCCATGGTGGCCCGCGCGGCGCTCGCCTCGGCCGCCCCTGCTCGCCCGCCGCGCGCCGCGCCGCCTCTGGCGCGTCTCCTCTTCCTGACACTCCCCGCCCGGCCGGCCCGCCCCGGGGGAGGGGCCTGCGCCCCGCGGGCCCGCCCGCTCCCCGCCCCGGCCCCGCCCCTGCCCTCACCTCAGGCCCCGCCCCGGCTCACAGCCCCGCCCTCGCCCTCACCCAGGCCCCGCCCCGGCTCACAGCCCCGCCCTCTCCCTCACCCCAGACCCCGCCCCGTCTCACAGCCCCGCCCGGGCCCCGCCCCAGCCCTGGCCCCCGCCCCGACCCTGCGCAGCGCGGAGTCAGCCCGGGGCGCAGAGCCCGCCAGCACTCCGCAAGGATCCAGCCCCGTCTCCATGCTCCCTGCGCCCCCGGTGCCCGGCGGGAAGGAGGAGGGGCTTCCCGCTCTGCAGTCTGGAGGGAAGGGGGGGTTAGGGCTTTGGGCGTCGCCGCCCCCACCCCCTGCTCCGGGATCTCCACGCGGTGGAGTCGAAATCACGGCTGTGTCCGTGACACCCTGTCGGTCGTCATGGAGACGGCTGGTTGTTACACACTGGCGTTGTCACCGGGGGTTGCATGGGTGTGAAGAAGGTGGGCCCCGGGGAGCAGGGACTCCCCCGCCCTCCCCCTGATGCCCCCCACTCCTCCGGTTTAGATGTAAGCTGCTGCATCTGTTAGAAAAGGATGGGCCAGCGGTCGCGAGGATATCGTGATGCCGCTGGGCCTCAGCCCTGAAGGGTGTCGGAGCCCGGGGGAGAGCGAAATGGGCTCCCCCCGCCCTCCGCCGCCTTCGGCCCAGCTCATCTCAGGGATGACTTAGCTAAAACACCAGAGGAATGGGTGCTGGGCCCCCGCTGTCTGCTAGGGCCTCCGAGGAGACAAGTCCTCTGCAAAGGCGCACAGGATGCGGTCTGGCCTGTCACCTTCACACGGCGGGGCCTGCAGAGCGGGTAGGAGGAGGGTGACGTTTAATAATCAGAGTCCCCGCCTCCGATCCAGACAGACAAACCCCGATCTCTGGGGTTCGGCCCGGAACTCTGTATGTCAGCCAGCACCCCAGGGAGGGCTGCTCTCTGACGTCAGAGAATCACTCATCTATTAATAGAAGGAGGGGCGTGCTTATTCTCTAAAACCTTATTGGGGTGCTGAAGACCCCTCTGCAGACACCCCGCCCACCAGCCCAGGCGCAGAGAGAAGATGGACAGGGTTCAGAGTTTAGGAAGCCGTGTCTGGAGGCAGGGCAGCGCCGTGGAGGGAAAAAAGCCAGCAGCGGTTCCAAAGTGATGTGAACGAACAGCCTTTCGATTGATAGTTGTCGGTTTGCCAGAGTTTAAAAATATTGCCAAATTAATTTAAAAGGCAGTTTAAAGAGAACGAAATTGAGAAAAAACCTTGGCGTTCAGAAAACATGAAATTTTCATTAACTTATTTTTGAGATAGTTTCTGGATTCAATAAAGCAGCTCAGGTTAAATGACATGACTGTGTGTGTGTGTGTGTGTGTGTGTGTGTGTGTGTGTGTGTTTAAAGCTTGGAATTACGCTCCTGTTGGCTTAGGCAGTTTGGCCCAGCTACTTGCAGGAAACACATTTTCTCTCTCCCACATTGACCTTGAAGGACCTAACAGAAGTACTTAGTTTGCCTGATATTGAATGCACAAGACTAGGGACAGGGTGTAGACTGAAACTCCAAAAAATGTGTCTACAGAGGCCGGGGTTTGCCAGATTCTCAGCCTTCCTCACAAAGCGGCTGACAGCTTTAAAAATCGGAATGAATCTTGACTTGCCTTAACCTGTGCTTTGTAACGGGCCTGCACGGGGCAGGGCTGCCTCGGTTATGAAGTGCCCTGCATCTGCGTGATGTGGAAGCACGCCTGTAACAGGGAAGAGGGTTCGGGTTCTTAAAAAACAGCGTGTGTGTGTGTGTGTGTGTGTGTGTGTGTGAAAAACCTGTTTAGTTTGAATTATTCCCACCGGCTGTATGTCTTAAACACCCCGATCAGTGACCTATTTGGCTTGTGTGGACACCTCTCTGGGGAGGTGGGGCGGGTGTCATGATGCACAGGTGGGGAGTTCTGGCCGTTACCTATTTCACCTGGTAACGGGGTGGGGGGGGGGGTGGAAGGGTGGTACTTGCAGGCAGAGCTCAGGAAAAGCTTCCTGGAGGGGCGAACCCTGGGAACACTTGGGATCGGTCTCTGCACAGGTTCCCTGGGTTTTCGGGGTTCGAGGCTCTGTGGCTGTGGGGTGAGAGCTCACGCCGCCAGTGCTTAGCCCCATTTGCAGGCCTCGGGCTGGGCTCTGCCATTTTCTTTCCAAAAATCGGGACTTTTTTAAAATGCCGTGGGACATGGGACAAATTGTTAAAAATCGGGACAGTCCTGCCAAAAGCGGAACGTCTGGTCACCTTACTTAAAAGACAGCTGTTGATCTGCTCTAACGCCAGCGATGCATGTTGGGGCTGCATTTTAATCAATCAATCATTAATCAATCAATTAATCAATCAATCAATTAAATCCTCACCCAAGAAGTGAGGATATTTTTTACCACTGATTTTTAGAGAGTGGAAGGGAGGGGAGAGGTGGGAGAGATAGAGAGAGAGGGGAGAGAAACATCCATGTGAGAAAGACCCATCGATTGGTTGTCTTCTGCACGTACCCCGACATGGGGTAGAGTGAACCTGCAGTCCAGGTACGTACCCATGTCTGGGAATCCAACCCGAGACCCTCCGGTGAGCAGGCTGGCACTGACCACTGGGCCATGCTGGCCAGGGTGGGGGACTGGAGGGATACATGTTATGTGAACATTCTGAGGCGATTGGACTTCGTTGAAATCACTTATTTGGAAATCAAAGATGCGGCGAAGGAAGGAAAGGCGCCGCTGAGCGCTGACGAGGCGGTAAAACTCCCAGGAACTCTCGGTGGCCTCTGCCTTAGGAAACCGCTCTGGAATGACCCCGGCGGCGTGCCCCACGCATGGATCTGGGCAGAGAGAAGCGATCTGGACTGGTTACGCGTTACAGCATGCGGTCATGTGGAAAGAATGATCTTCAGGAAAAATCACACCCTCGGCAGAGGGTTTTTACAGAGGCGGGGCCGGTGCGAGCCAATTCTGCCGGCGTCCCAGCAGCGAGCGAGCGAGGCAGCTGGGCTGGCTTAGTCATCATCGACTTGTTTCTCTCCTTCCTCCCACATCCACTTGTGTAACTGTCTTCTGGGGAGGGGTAGAGTGGTGTTAAAAAACACAACAGCACTTTGAAAAAGAAAGGGGAGACTCCTCGCCGGTTTGGCTCAGTGGATAGAGCGTCAGCCTGTGAACTGAAGGGTCCCAGGTTTGATTCCTGTCAAGGGCACATGCCCCAGTAGGGCGTGCATAGGAGGCAGCCAATCAATGATTCTCTCTCATTATTGATGTTTTTATCTCTATCTCCCTCTCCCCTTCTCTCTGAAATCAATCTCTATCTCTATCTCTATCTCTATCTCTATCTCTATCTCTATCTCTAGAAAAGAGCGGGGAGAAATGGTGGATGGTGGGGCAGATATTCACTCCAATTGCCCCATCAGAACCGGGTGGTCCCTCCACCCTGAGATGCTGATAAACAAGGAGGGGCTAGGGAGGCTGCTGAGATAAAGTTGGCTCAAAGTGCAGTCCACACTCAGCACTTTGTAAACACCAGCTTACTGATTAATCGTCCAAGGCACTCTGTGGTCACCAGGAAACCCTTGAGGGAGCGAGCAGACATACAGAGGTCAAGATTTAGGATCAGCCCAAGTCCGCATCTGGAGGCATTGGAGGGGAGATGACAGGGAATGGGTCACTGCCGGTGGGTCTCGGAGGCTCTCTCAGTTCCTGCCGAGTCTGGGAGCCGTGGGGAGGTGCCACGGGGAAGGAGCCGTGTCAGGCTCCCACTGAGGGGCCGGCTGAACAGGGCCGGAGGGAAAGGGCGAGCCGGGGACAGCGGCAGTGGCCCCATTGGCAGGTCATTAGAAACCGAGCATCTATCTATAGAGCGCTCTTTTTGTGGTTATCTCGGAAGGGAAGAATCTACCTGAAAACTGAGATTCCCCTTTCAAATTAGTTGCATATGCTCAGCAGGGCAGGCTGGGGGAAAAGCTGTTTTGTGCTTCTGTGAAACCCCAGGCAGTTAGTTCACTGTCCAAGGTGAACAGCCTGAGTTTTAGCCTGTTTTAGACTTTCAAAGAGCCCGTGTGTTGTGTGTGTGTGTGTGTGTGTGTGTGTGTCTGCACCTGAGGTGCCCAGGGGACCCCTCCCAGAAGTGGCAATGATATGCGCAACCGATTATGATTGTTATATTACACCATGAGAGCAGTGCGAATCCACATCCGGGCAATCAAGCCATATTCATTAGGTGTGTTGGGCACAGGCTCTGGTCCTGGAATTCTGGTCATGGGCAGGAGTTGGGGAGGAGCAGGACTTGGCAGCTGCAAGAGTGAGATTTGTGGACCCCATGCTGGGGAGCTGGGCGGGGCTCTCGCCTGTGGCTGGGACAGGGACTCAGTATTACACCGGCAATGAAGCTGCTGATAAGATACCTTACTCTGCCCTGGCCGGGTGACTCAGTTGGTTAGAGTGTCAGTCCTGTATGCTGATAGGTTGTGGGTTCAATTCCAGGTCAGGACACATACCTAGGTTGTGGGTTTGATCCTTGGTTGGGGGCATATATGGAAGGCAACCAGTTGATGATATTTTTCACATAATTGTCTCTCTCTCTCTCTCTCTCTCTCTCTCTCTCTCTCTCTCAAATCAATCAGCATATCTTCAGTGAGGATTAAAAAGAAAATCTGATACCACCCCACTGAGCCCCACACAACTTCCTGGGGGAGGGAACTGTCCCTTTGGTTCAGCGCTGGCTCCTCAGTGCCCAGCATGGGGCTGGGCCTGGCAGAAATCACTGAGGAATGAATGCAGGACGGTCTGCTCTGTCCGGGGGCTGGGATCAGGCTGGGT